GTGACCGACAGTTCGAGCAGCATAGCGGCGACCTATGAAAAAATCTAGTATTTGATTCATAAAACCTGCTGCCAGGCTTCATTAAGTTTCTTATTAACAGATATTGTAGAGCTTTTCATGGCGCATCGAATGAGGTATGAATGATTGGAGATCAACTTTAGTTTCAGAGAAGAAAGTGAAAAGAAGTTCGCTTAGTATAGCCTTGACCTATCGCAAAGTCTAGTATTAAATTCATAAAACATGCTGTCAGGCTTCGTTAAGTGTACTATTAACACATATTGTAGAGCTTTTCAAGACGCATCGAATGATGTATGAATTATTAGAGATCATCTTTAGTTTCATAGAGAAAAGTAACCGATGGTTCGAGTAGCATAGCGGCGATTTATGAAAAAATCTAGTATCTGATACATAGCGGCCGCTGCCAAGCTTCGTTAAGTTTCTTATTAACACATGTTGTAGAGCTTTTCATGGCGCATCGAATGATGTATTGCGCTGGACTTAATCTAGTATGGTTACTGAGAAATGTTGATTTTACAGTCATACTGTTCCTTGATTTCAAGTAGATAAGCGTTCGGAAGGGTCGAAATTATCGAATATGATAATCGGATGTGATTCTGATGAGGTTGAGACCGATCAGAGGGGTTATTGTTAGTGGGCCGATTACCGTTCTTATGCGTACTTAGCCTTTCATCAGAGTTAACACGAATTTCAGAGAATCTTTTTAAAGGCATTAATAGCCGCGGAGAGAACAAGAAAAGCACATGATCTCTCATAGAGTACAAGACCGATTACCGATCTTATGCGTACTTCACCTTTTCTTAGCACTACCTGATGCTTTGATCTTATTTTTATCGCTGATGCTTATGAGTTAGCACATTTCACCTTTCTGCATCATGTCCTGGAAGTGAAAGCCTGATAAAACATCTTACAATAACTAGATAACTGCAGGTCTTTAAGATACAAATATCGAGAAAGAAAACTATAAATAACTTTTCGGAAAAGCGAAGAACAGCCAGGGAGCTTTACGCTTCAAATTTGTCTAAGATCAAATGTCGATCTAGAGAACTAAAATCAATACTCAGCAATTAATTCAAAGTAAAGTTTTTGTATTGCGGAAGTGAAAATCTATTCCACCTAACTACCTAAAGGAAATTTTTTTTCAGGGTATTTACTGTATGATAAAATATATGAATAAAAATCTGTACAGGATATTTTAGTTAGCTTCATCCTCATCGTTTCATTCAGCCCACTCAATAATTTGACATAGTCTTTAACGTCAGCACTCATGAAGCTGGAATAACAGATAAATTAAACGCAATTCACAGAGTAGATATTCACACGTTGCAAATAGCTGAAATCTAATCGACACCTTTACTAAATCTTCTTTTTAAATAAATCTTAAGAAAATCTTTATGAACTTTTTGCTAAATTCTTTCGCCGTTTGATTTTTCTGCTTCTGTTCTTATGTAAGAAATATCGTTCGCAGTACACGATTCACAGGTTCGATTTACACCATGTTTGAATCCATGGCTGTTCAGACAGTTCAAACAGTTATGATGCTGTTTCTACGATATTCTAGAGCTCATAGCTTTTGTACTGTTTGTGCAATATCGTAGAGCTTTACCAGTAGTGGCATGGTCAAAAGACACAGTTCAAGATTTCCTCAAGATCTTGCGCTGAAATCGGAATTCTGGCTAACGCTAATGCACTCTATCACTCAGAAATTTTCCCAAATCTTATCAAGATCTGACTCGCATTTGTCCCAGACAGAGTCTGCGACAAATTTGCCGACAATCTTGATCTTCAGTATCATCCTAATATCTTGTCAAATCTTGATAAATGTGCATAAGACCTTCGATTAACCGAGCAGAAATTGATGGAGCCTTTAAAGTTTTATTAAGATCAGCATTCAGGATCTTTTATCTAGGATATAGGATGCATATCGACCAAAAGTACATTTTATGTCTCGCCTAACTGTTTACTAAGAGAAAAAAGAGATTTGCTCGAATGAAATTTCCTCGAAAGCGATATTCTCGAAAATAATTTCTTTGAATGAAGTTTGCTCGAACAGAACTTCATCAAATGGAAACCTCCTCGAATTTTCCAAACAGAAATTATCAATATTATTTACAGTGTATAGTACCTCCCTAAATTTTCGGTTATACATGTTTGTACCGGTTTATAAGACAAAATAAGACTACAATTCATTTTAAAAGTCACTTTGATACATTGATACAAAGACTAGAAATAAGTAGTGATAAGCGATGATCAAAAGGAAAACAGATGACAAAATAGCTAAAATAATCAATTATTAGAATTAATTAAGATTTAGTTAATTAATAGATTTCTAAAAATAGAATAAAAAAAGAAATCAACGAAGAGACCGCATGATAATCACACCTTAGACAATGCGATATATAAATCTCTGTACATTTATACATTTTACAGTTGAAACAATCTATTTTTACTATAAACATGGCAACTTTTTCTACAACTTCTAAATCAAAACGCTTACTGATTCATGCTGGATTTTCTTATATTCGCGGCAAAACGCATAGCACCAAAATTTGTTGGAAATGTGAAGTATCTCGCGATTCAAAGATTAAAAGTGAAGCTCGTATTCATACAGATTTACTTAATACCGTTATTTTTGTGAACAATAAATCACATTTACATTCTGCAAATGCTATTAAGCTTGAAGTTCGTAAACGTTATGAAGATCTTCGTTATCATGCAATAAACAGCAACGAACCACCAGCCAATATCGTTACAAATTCATTCGTTGTACTTTCCATTCTTGCACAAGCGCAATTATCCTCAAAACAAAATCTGAAACGTTTAGTTAAACACTATCATGCCAATAATGATTATCCACAAATACCGAACGACTTGAGCTTTTCCACGATACCACTCTCATTGTGCGTCACAACTAAAAATGATATTTTTTTAGTTCATGATTCTGGCTCATTCAATAACAATAATCGTTTTCTAATTTTCGCTAGGCCTGAGCAATTGAAAATACTTGAAACTTCGTCAGAATTTTTTATGGATGGTATATTTAAAGTCGTGCTACGTATTCTTTTCCAGTTATTCTCGCTGCACGCTTTACATCGTAATTATGTGATATCAGTCATCTTCGCTTTATTACCAATTAAAACATCCTACATTGTGGACATTTTTAGAAAAATTATAAACAGAAGAATGTAGCTGTAAATGCCGGCCAAGAAGCAAAAGTTCAACAGAAACGTAATGTCGATCATAATAAACGTTTAATAAATCGAATTAATTATTCTCATCCCAATATAGAACAACAAATAGCTGCTATAACTCATAATATCCATTTATAAATTTTATATTTCAAATAAAGCAGTTTCATTGATAGATAACTGAGATAGATTCAGTTGTCTTATTGGTATTTATCTGTAGCTGAAGTAATTTTTTGCGCTATCTTTAATGTTTCTCTTGTTCTATACACTGAAAATAATATTGATAATTTATTTTTGGAAAATTAGAGGAGGTTTCCATTTGAGGAAATTCTGTTCGACGAAACTTTCATTGAAGAAAATATTTTCGAGCAAATTTTCCCTATTCGAGAAAAATGAATTTCGAATGGTGACGTTCAAAAACTTTCACCTGAGACGTTGTCGAAATCATGTTTACTTTTGTTCTCGACTATCGTGGAAAATTTTATTACTCTGAAAAAGAATAGTAACATTTCTTGTGCTTGATATCAAATCAGAGCAATTTTGATCAGTAGTCACATTTCTGCTTCGGATCGATTTTTGCAGTTACCATCATCAAGTATACTCTCATAAAACAAGTCCTCCACCAGCTAAAATGGACACTGTGATGGGCGATAGATAGGACACTTTAAGCACTCTGCTTTGGGCACTTCAAGTACAAATATGTATCCCGTCTAGGTATGCACCAGTTTATAACTGGTGTTGGAGCAGCTAGAAAAATTGCTATGTTTGCTCTACCAAATGCATTTGTTAAAAACATTCCAACGGTAGTTCTGACAAAACATAAAACATTCGAAACTGCATCAAATCAAATCTGGAAAAAAATCTGTTTAAAAGGTTTAAAAGTTTTTTTCATTTCATTATTTCATTTTGTTATTGCTTCTCTATTCTTTCATCACCTGAAATGAATACCGTGGTCTTGATTTCACAGTTTACCTATACAAATAATATTTATTTTTTCGATGTATTTGCTCTCTCTTTCATTTCTAGAGTTAATATGTGAATAATATGTACCTGATATTACACATAAACATCAGCAATTAGCTAACCATTTATCCTACTTAATATGAATAATAATATTTTGGTCGGTCAATTAAAAAAATCTTTGAAATTCTATTCTAGAGATAGTACGACCTCTTTTTGTGATTGAATTTTTGCTGTTCATGTGCAATATGAGGTACAAATTATTTACATATTAATTGTAGAAACGAAAGAGAAAGCAAATACATCGAAAAAATAAATATTATTTGTATAGGTAAACTGTGAAATCAAGATCACGGTATTCGTTTCAAGTGATGAAAAAATAGAGAAGCAATAACAAAATAAAATAATGAAATGGAAAAAACTGTTCGAACAGTTTTTTTTCCATGATTTGATGCAGTTTCGAATGTTTTATGTTCTGCCAGAAATAGCTTTGGAATTTTTTTAACAAATGTATTTGGTAGAGGAAACATTTTTCTACCAAATAGATGGTCCCAACGCTATGAGCAAATCTTAGTAACTGCCGTGCTTGAGAAAACCAACTTCTTTACGAGCGACTAACATCGATTAGTTTTTGTGTATGGTTCTCCTTCGGATACTATTTTAAATGCTCGTCTCCAAATTTTGATAACACCTTTCGTTGAAATAAAGTCCAATATGTCCGATAGGGATTTTTTGATATAACTGAAACTTTTAACCCGTCTTTTGGCTAAAGCACAAATTCTTTACCAGAATTGAACACGGATTCTTGTACTACTCGATGAGCTCTCCAGAACTAGCACAGTAAGAAAAGTGGGAGAACCCACGAGAAAGCAGCGAATGGCAAAAGCACATTTCTCACTCTACAGAATCTCGGTAAAAGAGAGGATAAATGTAAATTGCTTTTTGTGTCGGCACGAAAAACAACGTTATGGCAACCGTACACTTTTGTGATTACAAAAAGAGGCCATTATTATTCATGTTATATACGTTTAGCAGTGAACGAATTGCTGCTGTTTATGTGTAATATGAGGTATTATTCACATATTGATAGTAGAAAGGAAAGAAAGAAATATTATATTTATTAACGGGTGATAGTTTCAATAAAAACGCTATTGTAACAGTAGGAATTTTGAGCTTCATTTTCTTTTCTTTTAGTAATAAAAATTGTTTTGAAAAATGAAGCTTAAAATAGCTGCTGTTACAGTAGTGTTTTTAACGAAGGAGAGAGCAAACAGAACGAAAATTAAATATAATTTGTATAGGTAAAGTCTGAAAATAAGACTACCGTATTCATTTCAGGTGATGAAAAAATAGAGGAGCAATTGCAAAACGAAATTTTTCTGTGTTATATCAGCAGTAGAATTGTTGTTATTTAAATTTATCAAGTATATGTAGTGTGAGGTATGTAGATCAATATCAGCTGCTTGTGTGTACTCAACAAATAATTGGAACGTGGTAAAAGTACCAGGTAAAGCCATGTTTCGCCAATTCAACTTTCGCCAATAGACATCCGCCAATAGTGATACCCCTTTCACCAATACCCCTAAACTATTGGCGAATGTCGTGTGGACATTTGCCAATACCTATCCATTGGATAGTCCCTATTGAATGTTTAAAAATAAGAGACTATCACTTCACGTGCGGACTAATTTCTTTTCTCGCCTCTTCCCTTTATTAACCAACCTTTGATTTGCGCTTAATTTTTTCACACTGCACATTACGTTCTTGTTTTCCCTAAAATGAATACGGTTGCTCTTTCACAAGTGTGTATATACGCATTTTCATGCTCTAAATAGTTCTTAATATCAAGATTTATGCTACCGATATTTTGTGATTGTGTGTGAGCTCATTTTATCTTGAATAGAAGGAGCTAAAAAAATTTTGTTTTTTTACCGATCTTTAATAAAATAAACAAAAATATAAAATATAAAAACCTGCTTTTATTTATTATTATTATTACATTTGTCATATTTTTGTTGTTATTGATTTATCGATCTCTCTCTCTCTCTCTCTCTCACTTCATTTTGATGTTACATTTTCCGTGATATTCGGATTGGGCATGTCGAGAAACCTTTTTTCACCTAAGTTTGAGCTTGAAGGCAGACAAAAAGTTTCAATCGAAATTTCTGTGCCGTTTCTGTGCAAAAAGTATTTTGCCTAAAATTTTGAACGAAAACTTTTTTGCTCGAAACACATCGAATTATATATCATTGAATGCAGTTTTTTTGCGCAGATTCCGAATATCGCATTGATTTTGCATAAAAATGCTTCTGAGCGTTTAAAAATTAAGTTTTTCACTTTTTTCGTTCTGCATATATAAGTTCGTGTTCACTGTGAAAAAGAGAAAATATATTCTTTTGTTCTCTCTTCCCATATAATAAAACACGTTCTTATTTTTCTAGCGTGTTATTGATATAAGAACATTTAGTCGATTTTTATATTTTGTGATTTCAGTGAGAAAAGGTGTCTCTCGATCACGTCAAATTTTGAGCTCTATTCGAATTTGATTGTTTGGCGTTTCGGAAACACGCACAATCCCGAATAGACGAGTTTTTAAAAAAAAATTTAATTGAGACAAAAACTCGTTTTCCCATTTAACGAACCAAATTCTAAGTTCTAGTTTTAGCTTCATTAGATAGAATACGTAAAATTACATATGGTTTTCCGGCTTTCTCTTCAGGAACATGATGCAATCATTTCAGATTCAGCGAGAGATTGAGCTCAAAATAAATACATACAGAGTAAATTTCTTGATGTCTTTTAACTCTTTCTTTCAATGCTGTTTACTTACTCTAGAGTTATATCATTCAGCTTATTCCATTTTTCGTATCTTTTATATATATACGCATGTCTTCGCCGAAAAACAAACATGTATTTTTTCTCTTCTCACATGTTTTGTCGAACGTATCACATGTAGGTCGACACTTGTTATATACGTTAGAGTGATATTAAAATTCAGTGAAATTTAAAACTCCGCTAGTGGAAATTAAAATTTCAATTTCCACTGACTAAAATCCAGTGGAAATTGAAATTTTAATTTCCAGTGTAACATATCTATACTATATTCCTCAATGTTTGTCATTCTGTCTGTCTGTCTCAGAATGCACGTCCAAATGGTAAAGTCTAGAATGACGAAATTTTGCACACTATTTCTTGGTCAAAACCTACGATAAGTCGCGAAAATTTCATTAAAATCAATCAACCAGGAGTCGAGTCATTTAAAAATGTGCGTATAATCACTGATGAGTGTGACGGACGTACATACACATAGTCGTGGGAAAAAACATTCTCTACTACCAAGGTTTAAGCGAAGACTAAGTCTGATTTTTTTATTAATTTTTGTTAAACAAATTCTTATGCTTTGATAATATGAATTGAAGAAAAACTTTAATAACATTAAAAAAAGTCAATTACTTCTTTGTTCAAGAACCCGGGCAACGCCGGGTAATTCTGCTAGTACTTCTATACATACCAAAACGAAAATTTTTCTTATATGCTAAACACTTTCTTCTCATTCAAGTAACACGCAGATATGCATGTGAATGAGAATGAGAAGACCCTTCTCCTTCTCATTCACATTCTAGGCAAAGCAATAGTTCTTTATTCGTATATTTAGTTAGACCATGGTTCATTCTTTTCTCTTTATTTTCTTCTGACTTGGCGAATGTTCACACACCATTCGCAACCAGTGGCGAATGTTCAAGCAGCATTCGCCGATTGGTGAATCTTTCGTAGACATTTGCGAAAGTTGAATTGGCCAACGGCGACCAATTCAAGTATAAGGCAGCTTGTTTTTCTGTTGTCCATCATCGGTGTGTCAGTTGGTGTTATGTTTCTTTTTAGCCAAAAAATGTCATTAGCCACAGGCGAGCATAGCAAGTCAGAAGGCATATTTGCTTTGGCTCAAAATCTTTCAAACACAACCCAACTAATTGGAAATATTGGGCAAAATACCGACAAATATTTCCAGTATCTTCCATTAATTACAAGACAACAGGCAGATCAAAAGTCAATATTTAGTTCTCTGTTTTCAGCCGCAGAGAGTAGCGCGAAAAAATTCGAAATCGGTTTGTGATGTTCTTTATATTTTGAGCTTGATCATATTTAGTTTATGTTTCGCTCTAGGTGAAAAATTTTCGCTTGATCATGTGTATAGTCATGATAATCGTACGTTGGTGCCAGATAAGCCCATTCATGTGAAATCGATTGAAGCTGAACGATTATATGACGTCACTTCAGTGACAGAATTTCTCTATCCATATCTGTATGTAGTAAATCCATAGTTTGGAGTATATGCATCATTTTACCACATTCAGCACTAATGTAAGACTTACTGTGTAGCTGTTACACGCAGTAACAGTCAATAAGAATCTCGCGCTTTACTCTCCATTCTTAACAAAAAGTTGTTGTGACATGAGTCTGTTTCAGCAACTTTAGTTCGGAAAAAGATTCGTTCACGCTTTAATTCGTCTTTTTTTCTTGTATCTGAAGGTATACGATAAAACTTGAATATGCCGGTTCACACGAATGGACAATTTACAAACGTTATAAAGATTTTCACAAACTGCATAAAAAATTACTTGATTACGCTGAAAAAGAAACACAACAGTCAATTGAAGCTTTGAATAGGTATATGTCATTTTGAACTTCATTTACTTGACATGTAAATTAGGTTGCCAAAATATGTTTGCTTATCGTTCTTAAGATCACAAGAAGAAAATAAAGATCGACCGTATTTTCCAACAAGAAACGAACGCTTAGCATTCGTCACGGATAAAACAATAAACCAACGTTCTGTAAGTTAAAATAGTTACAGATATTGTGAATACTTTGCTTAGACGGTTCAAGAGTCGTACAACTGAAACTATCCTTTTTAGGCCTCTTTAATGAAGTATTTAAATACACTTCTTCAACAGCCAAACTATATTATTCATCCAGCTGTTGTAAGTTTTCTTTTTTTGTTTTATTATACCCCACCGCGTCTCTTAATTTAATTTAATTTTTTATGTTATTCTAGAGTGACTTTCTTGAAATAAGCTACATAACTTTTGTTCATGGACTAGATGTTAGCAGAAAAGAAGGTTATTTACATCAACAGTTACCTACTGATGAATATCATGGATGGAAGCGAATTTTTCATATACCGTTTATATTTGATACGTGGAAATTTGGGCAAGAAAAGTAAGTCAAGTGAGAACGACTATCACTTAAGGTGCTGATAATTTCTTTAGCGTTTCAGTTGGTTTGTTGTAAAAGATACATATTTAACCTATATAAATCCGACAACACATAGTATCCGAACGCCATTTTTGGTTGATAATGCATTCAAAATCGAAACGGATTTAAAACACGTTCGAACAAAAGACGGTATCAAAGTAACAAATTCTCAGCGATCCCTGATTCTGAAATGTAAAGATAAATATCATAAACAAGAATGGACTAACATATTACAAGAGCTTATTCAGAAAAATTCAACAACATTTTGCCGAGGAAATCAGTTTAATTCATTTGTACCAATGAGAGAACAACAACTGGGACAATGGTAAGAATTAAATAGATTCTGACCGAATCTGATTTCACTTGGGCACGGCGCGAAGTGTGTGTGTCTTCAAATATTTTTTAATGAAAAATTAAATTGCTACCCAAGTTAGGTTTTTAGGCATAGAAGAAAGTTATTAGCAAATAAGATTCAGAATAAATTACGTTACCTCTATGGAGTCAGAAATTGGTGGATATCATTTTTTAAAAAGTATATTTTTCCTGTTCTTGTTAAAGGTTCATGAACGGTAAAGGTTACATGGAGGCCGTTGCAAAGGCGATCATGAAAGCAAAAGAAGAAATATATATAACGGACTGGTGGTTGTCTCCAGAACTATGGCTGATCAGACCGGGTGATAAACCCATATATAGATTAGATAATTTACTTGAAGAAAAAGCTGTACGTAAAAGACTTCCCAGGTCCAAGAAAACGGCATCGTTACCAACTAGTTAACTGGCCGTTAACGGTGAGTTACCGTGCCGTAAACGGACCGTTCTCAGAACCTAAAACTCGTACAAGTTTTAGGGTCTTAAATAGATCGTTTTCTCACCGTTTTGTAAACGTTTTCTTTTCGTCCACATCAAAAACGTCAAGTTAACAGCTTGTTTACTGGCCATTTTCTTGCCGTTTTGAGAACGTTAATGCGCCGTTTTTTGTGCGCCCGTTAACTGGCCGTTTTATTGCCTGGGTTCTATTACTTGCATAATGATTGAATGTGAAATTCTTTTCTAATCAGGATGAAGGCGTTCGCATCTATGTTATGTTATTCAAAGAAATGGAATTAGCTTTGGGCATCAAAAGCGCATATTCAGAGAAAATATTGACGTCGAAAAATAAGGAGAATATCAAAGTATGTTCTGTTTTGGAGAAAGAGACTCTGTAGGATGAGAAATATGTTTTCGGTATAGGTGATTCGCCATCCAGATCACTTTATTACGGGTGGAATTTCGATCAACTGGCTTTGGTCTCATCATGAAAAATGTGTTATTATCGATCAGAAATTAGCTTTTATCGGTGGAATTGATTTGTGTTACGGAAGATGGGATGACGATGAAATGAAGTAATAAATGTGTGCTTAGTTAGAGATTTTTCTCGTATGTATTCGGGTATATAAAGAGCTGCAGAAGAAAAAGAGATGTCTATAATAAACAGGTATCTCAATGCATCTAAAAACATCGGCAAAGAACTTAAATGATTCTTAGCTTGACTTTTCGGAACAGTTGGAAGGAAATATACGATTCAACGTGTTTGTCTCAAAGTTGTGTGAATATGTCTAATCGCAGTGTGTTTAGAAAGAGTGTATTTAGAATTAAACATGAGATGCAGCTGTCGCATACGGATGAGTATGAGCAGGTTTTCGTTCCATCTTTTAAGAGCTCTAGTCTTTAGTCCCGTTTTGAAGGAATGGACCACACGAAATATGAAGAAAAACTAAAATTATTTTTTGCATTTAGATTGGTTGATTTGGGTAATGAAAATATTTTAGAATTAAAAACAGCTGGGCAGCTTGCTGCTGACAAGACAACTAGTAAAACAGACGAATCAACTACAAACGATGAAATTATTGCTAAAAATTCACCTGTTCCAACGGTAAATAACTTACTTTTAAAAACTGGGTCGAGCTCAGATGAATTAAAGAGTTGACTATCCTGAGCTAGTCGTTTCTTTCAATAATGGTTCTAATGCGATTTCTATAAATACTGTAAGATTTTCATTTGATCAGTACAAAAAACCCTCCCCGAAAAAATGTATACGTTTATCAGTTTTAGAAAGAGTCCAATTCTCAAAAAAATTTTTAGTTACAACGGTCTTTGATGTATCTTTTCTTAGCAAATGGTATTCAGTTTTTAACGCTGTTTCAGGATGGAGATATTGATGCAAATTCAAAAAAAGCTGAAGTCGAAATACCGGATGTAAACGCTGTTATACCAAAAAAGGAATGTCTGTATAACTTCCAGTAATGAAAGCAATTTTTGGAAGACACGTGTTTCTGTTTCTAGGGTCAAAATCAGTATTAGTCAATATAGGCATTCAGATTGTCAATTATCTGTTGTTTATTTTGCGTTATTTCTCCATCATATTCCAACAAAAGCCAGACAAACATGGAGGATCAGAAGAAGAAAAGGAGGAAGAACATCAGGTTAAAAAGCTTCGAGACTGGCTTAAACTACAACGAAAAGTAAATAAATCGTCTATATATATTATTTGTATACGCAAAGTCTCAAAACAAGACCACGGTATTCATTTTAGATGATGAAAAAAAAGAGGAGCAATGATGAAAACGAAATTCTTCTCTTGGAGGATAAGGAGGAAAATGAATCAGCAGCACCAGCTCCTAGAGCAGACGTAAAATATTTTATTGGAAAAGATTATTCAAATTCTTATGTTAAAGATTTTGAAAATTTAGAAGACTTTAGTGCAGGTAGGGTATTTACTTAAAAAGTGGAAAAAGTAGGGACGTACAAATAATATTTTGTTTCTGATGGTAGATTTTATCCAGCGAAAGGATATTGTTCGTACGCCATGGCATGATGAGGCGTTAGTTGTAGCTGGAGAAGTTGCTCGGGATGCAGCCAGACACTTTATACAACGATGGAATACTCATAAGGTAGGATGATCTATTATTTCAAATCTTAAATTAACAAGAGTTTTTTTTTCTCTTCTATAAAGCGTGAAAAATATTTATATGATGATTCGTACCCATTTCTGTTACCAAAAACGTATAATAACAAGGAGGAATTGACAGTAAATAACTGGAGTCAATTTCTTAATACGAAACCAATTCAAATTAATGCACAAGTAAGATTAATCGTTTTTCTTTCCAATGCTTTTTATTTTTGCAAGCAGAAAACAAATATCAAATTACGAAGCTGTCACGCACATATTTTCTAAATGAAGCTTTGCCATATTCTATAACAGTTTTCTTAGTAGCCGTAGCCTATACCCATGTCTTGCAGAAAGTTTATATCTGACAAGATCTGTTAACTTTCTTGATCTCAAGGAATGTTCAATAATTTTTGTCAAGTTTTTTTAAGAAATCTGCCTGCACAAATCTTGATCAAGATCTTGACAAGATTTGAAAACCTTTCTGTAATTAACAAAATCTTTGCTAACAAAGAAACTAGCAATCATTTTGGTTACGACTCAGAGGCTCGACGAAAATGTAAATATAACAACTTAAGAGGGAAGCTCCCCAAACATGCCCTCATTTTTTCAACAAAATATAGTAGATTATAGGTAATCGACCATGCTGACTTCGAATATGCTATTCATCTTGACCCATACTCATTTCCTAGCCGGTTTCTGCAAAACCTGGTTTTTCAGAAACCTCGAAAAATTCCTAAAACCTTCCTAAATAAATGACAACAGTAGCCCGAGAAATTCTGATCAAAATGAGACATCTCCCAGCTCTACATGACCTTTCTTTGCAAAGTTATAGAGTTTACAAGAAAAGCCCTAAATGTTCATTGCCACCTGAGAGCTACAGCAAGAAAAAGGATTTTAGAAATTAAAGAACAAATTTAGGGCTTTTCTTGCAAAATTCTGTAACTTTGCAAAGAAAGGTTATGTAGAGCTGGAAGATGTCTCAGTCAATGTCTCAGTCAGCTGGAAGATGTCTCAGTCAATGTCTCAGTCAGCTGGAAGATGTCAATTTCGATCAGAATTTTGTGGGCTACAATCGTGACTTATTTAGATAAAGTTTTGGTGCTTTTTCGGGGTTTTTGGATCCTGAAACCGGCTAGAAAATGACTATGGGCCTAAATGAATAGCATATTCAAAGTCCGCATGGTCGATTACTTATAACCTACTACATTTATTTACAATTACTATGGCACTTCAGTGTAGAGGATTTCTGCTAGGATTCGATAGGGTAGACAAATAAATATGTTATTCTTTCAGTCACCATTTTGTTTGGGATCGTTCATGAATATATCAGAATAAACGCTTGCACTGCAGAACATTAAAAATTTTTGAAGTGAAATTCAAACATTGTGTTTGAGTGTATGATTGCACATGCACTTTCAATAGCTCTGATAGTCTTTACATAGTACTTTAGAGCTTGCAGCGTAGATGACCCGACCGGTTGGCCGGTCATATATTTTCCGAGTGTGTAAGTGTAAAAGCCTAACGACAGGGGACGTTAGGCATAGTTCCTGAACTATGGGTTTCCAAGATGTCCCTTAGATCCAGTTTTGTAGAGGACACTTCGGACTATATATGTATGAAAAAAAAATCCATAGATTTCTATCAGAGACCGAAACGGGTCGGGTGGACCCGCGGGTCGGGTCTGATCCGATTGTCTCGGGTCGGGTTCGGGTCAATGTAAAAAATATTGGTTCGGGTCGGGTCAAAGGAAAAAAAATTTCGGGTTTTATTCGGGTCTTGCCACTAGAACACAAATCAAGAGAGTTTCGTCGGTTACAATTCACTCTTCT